CCACTTCAAAATAACAAATCGAAATTTTTAAATTTCCTCACCCGAACTATCCGATTGACTGGATCTCGACCTGGATCTGCTACTAGATTTCGAGCTAGACGATGATGAACGTCTTCTGCTCCTCTTTCGACTCTTCCGAGATTTCTTTCTAGAATCCACACTCGAATTATCATCACTATCCGATATATCCTGCACTCGCTCATCTCTCTTTTTCCGTTTTCTCGATTCCTCCTTCCTTCGTTTCGACGATGAGGAGGAGACTGGAGGCGTTTCCGAGCGACGCCTTCTTTTATTCGACGAGCTTTTTGACGCCGAAGAAGATGCTCTTTGAGCCAGAAACGATGGTTGGGCCGTGGTGTTGGCTCCACCATTCTTTTTGAACATCGGAGCATCTTTACTACTAGAGCCCCCGCCTCGCTTCGGAATTTTATACGAATGAATGTCCCCGGTAACCAAGTGATCCTCCTTTCTACTCTTCTTCTTCTCATACGTCTTTTTGCTGTGTCCTGGTGGATACGGTGGCGGGGATCTGGACCGAGATCTCGATGATCGTCGTGGCGGTGAGGCTGCCGACTTCCGCTTCATGTGATTCTTTCGGGACGTCATTGTTGTCGCTTCTCGTTCTGATGAATAGGTCCTGGATCTCGAGGTTCCAGAGGACGAGGATCTGGAACGACGACGACGGCTTCGATGACGTCGGGATGAAGAATTGGCAACAGACGAGTCGTCGGAGGAGATGTTTTGGAATGTGGCTCTGGAAAAACACTATTCTCAGAATATGGAGGGGTTTTGTCGGTGTACTAACTAGGAACAATGGGGAAACCCCACTTTAAAATGGTGGCCTAACTTTTGAAAGTTGAGTTTTCTAAGCCATCATGGTAAGTGACATAGAATTAGCTTGATAGTCACTTGGTGTGCTTTCTAGGATACTTTAACATGATGGCCTAACTTTCTCAAAATGATTTTTTTAGGCCACCGTTTTAAATGGTCTAAAAATGATCTACCATGTACCCGATGACTTTTCTGTGTGGTTCAACATAGTGGTGTAACTTTTGCAAATGGGTTTTCTAGGCCACCATGGCGAAATGGCCTGGGGTGTGTTTC